AAGACAGCTTCAGCTTTTATTTATGAAGAAGTTTTTGTGTTGGTTACTGACGGTTTTCTTCCATGGTTCTTTTAAAACATTCAGCAGCCAGCTAAACTGAATTTATTCCATGTCAGACTTGCAAACGGGGATCGCTCAGACGCTGTAGCACAGATTCTGCTCACAGAAAACCTCGTTTCCCAGTAAGTGCTTGAGAAGAGTTAATTTAAGTTGAAGAATTTCAGCCCTTTGTTCCAGTGACCTTATCTTGATTAATACAAACTATGCCACAGATTACACCCCCCCACCCCCCAAATAACTACTGTTTATTTTGTTGTTTATTGTTTGTTCTTGCAAAGTACAGTTTCTCAAGTTTTCAGGTTAAACTGGAGGGGAAAAAAATCTAAACTTACTAGCCAAATACCTCTAGTGTCTAATTTCAGGAATGTACTATGAGACTAGTCAATACATTGTAGACTTAAAATCTAGCATTTTATTGCTCAGTTTCTGAAAACCAAACACTGCTGGTAGACTCAGCTGCTGCATGTCACAACAGTGTTACAAATACAAAGAATTCTTATTATAAAAGTACTTATTTGTCCTATAATTATCATCTCTGGCAACTTAACTTTCAAGAAACCTAACCATAGAAAAACTGCACGCAAGCACCATGCCACGCTGATTGACCGCTTCTGATGTTTGCATGCCAGTGCTATTCAGAGTAAGAAATCCAGGAGGTACATTATGTCCATTATTTAATTACAGAGTGGGTGAGTGCAGTCCCCATGAAGGTAAGAGAGGCACTTGGATTTGTTTTGTAAGCTTATTCTAGATGCAATATAAAAATAGATTATATTAATAGGAAAAATTTAGTGTTTAACAAATTGTTTTGTAAATAGGCTAGCACAAAAGATAAATCTTGCTACACTTCGACTAGACTAAAAATAACTTCATCTGAAAATAAAAATAATAGTGCATTTTTAACCTTCATTCAGATGCACATAATCATGCAAACTATGAAAATTGCCTATGGTAGGAAATCTGAGGTTAAAGGAGCCGCGAGCTTCCACCTTGCACCGCTTTCAGTGGCACCGCAGGCTGCTCGCCACGTCACATCTGGAGGAATGACATGAACCCTTTGCAGCTGACCGCTGTGCTCTCCTCCCTGCCCACAGCAAGGGGCGAACACTCAAACACTCCCCGACGCGCCTACGCGTGACGCATTCGCCAACAGGCTCAGAGGCCAAGTCCTGCTGGTGCTGGGCTGTGAATCCTGAGGGAGCTGTGAGTCCCGAGGGAAGGCGAGGCGGGCGGGCAGCGGCTGGCCTGGTGTGCGCACGGGCAGCTGGCAGCCAGAGGTGCTCGCAGGACGGCTCCTGCTCCTCCTGCTCCCGCACAGGCTGCGGGAGAGAACAAAGAGGTTTTTATGCTTCTGACTCCTCCCCTCCTTCATGGACGGCTCCATCCTCTGCCAACTGAGCGTTCAGAAGCATGAACTTGCCATCATTTGTTAACGGCACAGACCGCATGAGCTGAGCTAGCGCTTCTGGGTCCTGCAAAAAACAAAGTACAAAGAGGTCAGCGGGCTGCCGCCGTCTTTGAGGAGCACACTGTTCTCCCAGTACTTCTGTTAAGGCTCTGCAACTTCTCTGACAACCTGTAGTCTAAAGGTTTGAAACACAAATAATCCCTTTTGGATCAGTAAAACACCCCTTGGGTATATAAGAAAAAAAAAAAGTCATTTATTTTGGGGATTTATTTTGCTGTTCTTCTCTGGCATTGACATAATTATTGAAAAACAAGTAGCAAAATAACAGCCTAAACAGATTACTTACTATAGCTGTGCCTATTGCCTGTGACTAAAAGCTCATTTGCTTAACTCGCTCTGAAATCTCAGGAGTAAAAATACACAGCAAATATGAATGTCTTACTGTCACATCTTTATATAAAGAAATTTAGCTACAATGGCCTAGGTAACTGTGCATTTCAAGTGGAAAAAGAGTGTATTTTTCTTCCCTAAGGGAGGAGGAATATGAGTTTCTCAAACTGAAACAGCAATGTTTTATTTATGCTTCATCCCAAAGAGGTTTTGTTTTAAAAAAACAAACAACTTTGCTTGCAGCTTCCTTTCAAACATGCACAACTGGATTGGTGTAGGTCTGATTTTGATTTAGGGTGGCAAATTTTATCTCAAATCAAGTTACTGCAAAGTCAAACTGAGGTTAGTTTTGCATGAGCTACCCAGGGGCTGTGCTAAATAGCGTCTGCAAAACTTTGTCGTTAGGAGGAAGAGCAGTTCCTTTTTCTCACGCACGCCACAGGTACCCGGACAGCGCAACCAGCAGCAGAACACGACGTACCACTACGCAGGCCTGCGCAATGACACGAGCTTACCTTCTGTGCCTCAATGATTTCTTTTCCCAAGCTAATGGCATAGCAAATCTAAAAAAAGAAATGTATGTAAAATTCAGTTTTGGTTTGAGGTTTTTTTGTTGCTTAATTGGGACTAAAACACAGAAGTGTCAATGCAAGCAAGTCTTAAATACAGGTCTGAAAGCAGAGGCAGAATACCAATTCACTGCGATAACCAGATAAAAATAAAACCATCTTGGGTTCTGCTTCAAAGCTCACTTGTGCTGGTAAATTTGTACTCAGCTCGGTGAGTTTATTCACCAAACTTTACTTCCGGACCTGGGGCCTCTTTTCCAGTGTCACTGTTTTGCAAGACTAAAATTCTCTAGCACATTCCTTATTCCTAGCAGTCCGCTGTTACCGCAGGCAGCAAGCCCCCAGCAGTGCCAATACGGTGCGGCTGCCTTGTCTCTCGGAGCTGTACAGGTGTCCACGTCTCAGCATCGCCGACGTTCGTTCTTCTTGGTGTTGGTGCTGGACACACACGCACTTTCCCAAAACTCTCTCTTAACGCTGGTGTTGGCAATCATGTCCTTTCCTCCTTGTTGTACGTGCTGCTGCGTGATCTACAAATTTGGTCCTTTTTAGACATAAGCCGTCAAAGGCTTGTGTGTTAAGGCCCGTTTTCCTGGCAAGACACTGAGGTGCTCTTGCTTCTGTCGCACTCTTTCCCAGATCTGTAAGCGAAGAAGCCCAAGACCTGTTTTCTAAATATAAGTATTTTATTAAATGTTACACAAACCTTTTCCCCTTCTGTGTTGCTCTCAAAAATGTAGGCACTCATGGATTCTTCTCCCAGAGGCTCGCTGAGATGGACCACAAAGCCAACCAGTCGCCTGTTCTCTTGATGAGCAGCAAACTGTGTCACCGTGGCGAGTTCAAACTGGGAAAGGATAATAAGGAATTGCTTTTTTTTAAACCAGCATAGGGTTAGCCTGGTCAAGAGCTCAAGCTCATGTGACCGAGTATTCAACGCTGTGGTAGAAAACCAGATTCGAAACAAAAGTTACTTACGCTTGCTCGTGTAACTTGGGTTTGAGGATCTATTAACCTGCAATTATATGTAGGGGAAAAAAAAGAAATTATTTTAGAGTGATTCTGACTGACTTCAGGGTGCTTTGTAACAGTAACGCAGTCTCTATAGCAATTCTACAGCCAAGGAAACACGCACAGAATCAAATGCTTTATCTATGATTTACAAGTCGGTCACTGGCAAGGCTCAACTCTAGACGGTGACTCTTGGCCGTGGGTCACAGCATCGTTCCGAGTCACTACGTGGTGAGCATCCCGAGGGTGCGGGCGACACACTAGCACGCACATGGGCACGGGCACACGCTCCGGCTGAACCGAGTGTCTTGTATCAGCGTATTCTGCAGTGACAACGCCGACTACAGGATGGTGGGGGCTCTCTTGTCATTACTGCAGGTGAGGAAAGAGAATCTTCCAGTGCATGTTTTTGCATCTTTTTCTGTACCTTTGCAGGGCTTTATAACCCCGCTGCATTCCCTAAGTTCTGGTAGGCTGTTCTTACCACCTAGTCAGGAGGATGACTGCTAGATACTACAGGGCAAGAAAAGAGACATTTTTACAAAGTGAAGTGAATCTTGGGATCTTGCTCCCTCAAAGGGTGCGTTTCTCGGAAAAACAAAACCACAAATACTTTACTAATCACAAGCTGTATGAAGAGAACGGAAAAGATTTTACAGTACCTCAGGTTCTTGCTGGTGACCATGAGATGGGATTCAGTCATACGGAAAATGTTGTGAATGGCACGAGCAGCCAACACTTGTCTCATAGCTTCGTAAATCACCTCGCTGGTGTTGTCTGACTGAACTGCCATAGAGCCCAGAAACCGAACTATGAACATCTGCTGCAAGAGCGAATCTGGAAGATAAAGGGGTGACCTCCTTCACTGCGCTACTTCAGCTTTCCAGTAGCTGAAGTTATCAATGAAATTATTTTTTTTCACTTCGGAAATTCAACTCTAAACCTGCGGATGGTGACTGCTGTGAGCGGGGCCTTCCTGCTAGGAGCCCGGCTGTACTCTGACCCAGTTTTAAGCAGGGCTTGAACTGGCCGAGAGTGTGCACGGGGAACTTAAAAAAATCACAGTTGCTTGGAAGCTTTCAAAGTGTAACTGGTCCTTTATGCCTTATTTGATGAGCTAGGAAAACTCACTTGCCCATCTTGTTATCAGGTACACATAAACTGTGATAAATTTATGACTGCACACAAGCCTTGGCTTCTGTCAGATGAACTCGTATCTTCAAACCCTGTACATTCCTCGCTTTCTTCTGTGTCCTTCTGACCTGCCTGGCAGGTGGTGCCAGTGCGGTTTGCATTAAACCCTTCCTTGCTCACCCACGGTCACCGTAAGCCTCCTATTCACAACGGAGTAGCCATTATGTGCCAAAGCCATCGTTTGATCAGGCTCCCTCTGGGGCTGGCGGGGTGGC